CTGACACAATGAAAGATTGGACCTTGAGCCCTAAGTTGGCCCTTGAATCCTCGAACATCATCGCTCGGCTGCCTCAACCGCGAGGATGCGATGGATAAACTATTATTAATTATCCTAGCATTGTTTCGAAGGAATCGATCATCGAAAGTTTGAGACGTCTTAAGAAAAAGAATCTCATGTTACGGGGAGTCTCCGCAAAGTCATCCCCATAAAGGGTAACGTTTTGTACCTTTTCGGCAACGCATCTTTCTCCATTTTCTTTCATGATGTCACAATTTAGCACCATAATGCGTACACGGATTTCGAACGTCAATGCCGAACGGTTCAATTGTGCTAGCATTCCCAAAATCACTACAGTGTTCTCAACCGCTGCATATGTTGTTGTCACGAGTGCCGATGGGAGTGCATTAAGATCAGGAGCCGAAACATCATGCAAATTATTCATTTCTTCCTTGCGACTATTTGGCTCACTGTCTTCCCAATTGTTCATTGAATTTCTATTTCTCACAGATAGATTCTGCGATTGTCTCGCTCACGATGACAGACTCCGCGAGTGCCTCGCCCGAGAAGATTAACTCTGCGATTGTCTCGCAGCAGAAGATGCACTCCTCGATTGTGCAGAGGCGATCGCTCGAATCTCTCGAAGGATACTCACAGTGAACAAACTTTGCCTAACACCCTGCACAAAATATTCATAAGCACACACATCTTCTTTCCTCCTCTGATTCTTAATTGCAACTCTCAATGCACGCATGCGTTTAACATGAAAGTTTGGTCGTCTTCCTTGGCTTTTCCTTCATTTTGAAATTATACGCGACATAGAACATGGTTCATTCACATTCATTATATTGACTTGTTACGTTCCTCCGCCAACCTCTACAGTACTTCAACAACTATTGCACTTCCATCATAGCCGGATGACACACGGTGAGGCATCGACAACAACGATCCAAGTTCTAAACAACACATGGGTTTATTGGCACGCAGTCGTCGAATCAACAACATACGGTGTCGTCTGTTGCGCCTTGAACGAATCCGTTTCCATAATAATAATCTTCTCCATCGCTTATGAGATATAATAATTTTTTTAATCAATGTGTTTGGCGAATTCTGTTGGGTCGTGGCAGCAAAAGAGAGATGTGCATGAACATTTGTCAAAGTGGGAGAAAGGTTGCTCTCCACACATTTTTGTCGGACATCGGCAGTCAATATCGACGATGAACAGTTGTGCACATGTACCGAGTACAAGGAAAAATCATCGAGTAAAACCGATCTTTCGACCATCAAAACGGAATCTGTATTTATTGCAACATCCGTACGAATTTCAAGTGGACATTCACTTTGCAAGGTCATAGAAAAATTTCCATGACAACTTAAAATTAAATGCGATCCGTACAAACTTTATTATTTCCTTGACTCGTTATTTTGAAAAGCACAGGGCTTATGAAATAATTCATTGATGGAATCGTTTGTCGAAAAGATAGAGAGACCTATCACTACATTGTTTTTCGGGAGAACAATCGGGACCATCATCTTGAGTTAGCATCGATCGTTTATCTCTCCTAGAAGCAATTCCCTCACCGGCAGCACATACCGTCTGTTGTAAAGACCTTCGGGTTTGACGATTTTAGGAAAGTGGCAGTCCACGTTTGCGGTGTTCGTGTTGTGATGACATCGGTGTCTCACTCGCAAAGCGCCCGGGAGTAATATCCGAACGTATACACAATCCCAATTCATGGTTGGATGAGGAAGAAGAGCGGTCTAACGAAAACAAACTAACTTGACCTGGAACAACGGAAGGACACCGAGTACACTCTGATACTATCGGAGAAGACACCAAAGGATCCTTAACAGCCCTTTCACAACGGCGAAGGCGTTTGCGACGCTTCCACGGAACATGCAACGACCTATCCGGAGATGAAGAGAAGGTTGGAACGGTGGATAGATTACCATTGGTTGAATCGTCATGTGGACCTTGGTCCTCTGCCATATTAATGAGTACGCATATACGTATTTGTACATGGGCACGTCACGACGGATAAGATGAATAAGATGCGTATAGACAATCGGAACGAAAAAAATATACCTCAAAACATTCATATATAGATGTAATTATATGAAGAAGAGTAAAACAAGAAGAACAAAGAAGACGTAGTGCAATACATAGAACACAGCTGAAATAGGAAGCATAGAAAATCAAAGAAAATAAGGAGTTGGTTTATTTTATTTATTTTTAGCGCGTTTATCGAGGTTAATTAATGTTAATTCAAATCAGAATTTCTTTGTTCGTGCAAATATAGATGTATAGGTTCACTTTCATGCTTGCGCAAACGTTTAATCGGGACCGGAACTTTGTTGGACTTCTATTAAAGTTAATTAAGACGCCTCCTATTTTGTTATTATGCCTCATTCGGTTCTTATGTTCGATTTGTGATCCTATACGCCCCTTAGTCTTTTTAGCGCCCAATGCGATAAAGTCATACGTACGTCGTTTGTCCACGTTTTCCCTTTGCCATTCTCTGGCAGGGCTCCCTTTCCTGTTCCGATAAATTTATCAATGGGATCTGAAGTTCTTTTGGCTTCAATCACATCAATCGAGGCGGCTCCTACTTGCGGCCAGCCTTAGGTATCCTAAGTCAGTCTTCCGTCCATAAAAGATTTGAAGAAGGAAAAATGTATTCGCCGACCTTTCCGAGCCCCAATCGCTAGGAAGTAGTCCGTAGTACCCATTCTCCTCGTCTGAGCACGAGGCTCAGATCTCAGAAGTTGGCGTTGGCTCCACCGCAATAACATTGCACCACCCCCATAAATGGGTTTATGCAGCGTGCCGCACCTCTCCCCAACCAGCCTCGAAGGTTGTGGATCCAGAAAGAACCATTCTTAGCGATCGAGGTCGGGCAAACCGTTGATGGCCTCACCTTTCTTCTCCTCTTTTGCTTGGGCGACTTTGATGAGATAGGAGCAAAGGGGGTAAAGAACAAGACTTTTTGGAACCGGTCTAGGCGAGAGGAGATCATTCGGGATAGCACGGGTGCCGTGGGAAAAAGGCTACATTTATTGCCAACTTTATTTCTACTTATCGGATTGGTTCCTTCTCCAATATTCATTCAAAATGCATAGTGTGAACCCCCCTCCCAATAACACTTAATTTGCTTCACATAAGCGCTTGAGTATTTTCAGCGCCCCATGTAGACCAATCATAAGTACTTTGATTATTTTCGAGCATGTTTTGTTTTCCTTCGATACTGTTTACTGGAAGACGGCCTAAGTTTATTGTTGTTTTTTCATTTACAATCAAGACTCTTCCTTTCTGAGTATTCATAAAATTTACATTATAACATCACAAAACATTTATGCCTACATTTTTTTTGTTTCAAACTTCTTTTGCAGAACAGTATAAAAATGAACACAGAAAACCATAAAATATGGAAAAATAGAATTTAACAAATGTTAGCAACTTAGGATTAATATTATTTTCATAACCATGAATACGTGGAACATGAGATCGCATACCAACAAACGACTAAGGCAATTTTTATTTGTGTACATCAAAAGTATTTTCTTTCAATTCCATGAATAGTTGCCATTAAAAAAATGCCAAAAAAAAAAGAAAAAAAAAAGAGGGAGATAGAGAGAGAGACGACTTAAATTAGAGAGAAAGATTACTTAAGTAAGAGGGAGAGAGAGCGAGAGAGAGCGAGAGAGAGCGAGAGAGAGCGAGAGCGAGAGCGAGAG